AAGCGTTTCTTTAATAAATTTTGTTTCAACTAAATATGATAAAATGTGATAAGGTAACAATAAATATGTACATATACATACATATGTATAATAACTTCAAATACACCTACAGTATTATTTTTTTTATCTTGGATAATGTAAAATAACATGAATAACTGAACTCGTATTTATAAGTGAAATTATATTCTATAAAATAGAAAAAATTTGGCTTAGAATTCTTCTGCTTTCAATATTATTTGTGTATAAGAAAGTTATAAGACTCAATATACATTCAAGTAATAACCAGGATTTAAGAATTTTTATATGGTAGAGAATTTGTGGCTGAGATATACTATTTGGGATATTGATGAAATCTTATTATTTCTTATTAACATAGAGTGGCCATATTAAAATGTTATTCTCAGTTTCTTTTGGTTTTTACGACTTTTAATTTTTAAATTTTTCTTACAAAATTTGTTTAATAAATTTTTTTAGTGTTCTTAAAAGTTTATTTTATAAAATCTCTGAAATGTAGAACAATTATTAGTAGTTGATGACTAAAAATCCAAACTTTTTAATTTTAAAATCTTAAAAATTAAGTTGCTTTTCAATATTACGATATTAAAGTTTCTAAGAATTATTTCCATTGTATTGAAAATAAACATAAAATAAAACTGCATTGCTTGAATTCGGGTAGACGCTGGAATTTTCAAAATATTTTAGTGAAAAATAGAGCAAGCTAAATCTCAACAGGATGTAAATGGCGACTATTTTTCATTTCCTAGTGACAAATTGTGTTATTTGCATTTCAATATCTTACACTAATTATAAAATTAACCCTATACTGTAAAGGGCAAATTGCATATCCTTGATCGTTCTTAATGATTTTAGTGTTTTTAAATTGCTAAAAATTTTGTTGCATCTTTTTAATTCTGGCTTAATAACTGTTCTTTTAGTCAGTGTTATACATTTTCATTTAAATTCAAGATGAGAATTTAAATAAAAATTTTGCCTCTCATTTTCATCGATGTCTCGACAACACATGTTTTAATATTTAAATTTACATGGAACGAACTATTTCCAGTTACTTAAGTATAGAATGTTGATTTTGTCAACTCGTAACCATTAAGAATTCATTACACACCTTATGAATAAAAGTCAACTTTTTACTTATGTATGTACATATATACATAAATGTATGTACATATGTATCAATTTGCAATGCTTAATTTTAGTCTTTTTTAATATGTTTAAAGCGAAAATAATTCATTTTCATTTTTAAGTTTTTATTTAAATTTTATAATTTCCATTTTATGTTTCATTATACTTTGAATGTTATTGTTAATTTAAACTTATTTTTTTCGGCGTGCCTCGAGGGCATCAGCCATAGTAACTCCTCCCAAAAATCCCCCTGAAATTCCACCAGCTGTGCCAGCAACTGTTGCGCCCACAGCTTTCCCAACTGTTGTACCAGCCCCAGGACAAATAACTGATCCTATAGCACCACCAACAAGCGCTCCGGCTGATCCAGCTTTAAAATAAATTTTAATATTAATGTACACATTTAAAAAATAAAGAAATTTAAATTAAATTCACCTCCTGCGGCACCAGTAGTACCACCTGCAGCAGCAGCACATCCAATAAGAAATCCATCCATAATTAAAATTTCAAATTTGAGAATAGAAACGTGTAGATACGAATGAACATATGCAAATCTGCGAGTTCAATTTTTTCAAAAGAAGTTTTAGATGTTATATGTTGGAGCGTTCTTAGCGAAATGATCGTGAATTTTAATTTTTTTGATACATTTGCACTTTGCAGTGATCAAATTTTTATTTTTAATGTTAAACCGAAAATTCTCATGTATCCAATTCTTTTTTGGGGGAATTCCCAATAATTCAAATTTCCTTTTAACTTTAACTAGCTTAAACTACATTTTCTTTCATACATATGTATATATATTTGTTTCATTTTTATTAAATATTTACTTTTCTCACAATATTACTAATTTGATTACTGTTTATGTCTGCAGAGTGCGTATACTCATTGTCTTGTATTGCTATACGATTCAAATTTTACTCGGGAGCCTCCCGCTGCCTTCTCTTTTGTTAAGAGTAAACAAAAATTTAATATTTTTGAAAACATATAATTGTATCGTATATATGTTAGATACATACATCATACATACATGTTAATAAGAAAAAATTATCCCCAATTCAATGTTTTGCTTTTTAATTACTTGAAAACTAGCAGCGTTGTTGAAATTTGTTTATTGAAAGCCATAAAATTTAGCAAACACACATGTTTTAAAATTATTTCCAAAATATTTTTTAAGAAAATTTAAAGCAACGTTTTAAAATAGTCTCTTATGCGAAATACAATAACAAATCTTTACGGAAATTGTAGACACAAAAGGATAGTGTAAGATACAATAAATTAACAACGGTAAAACAATGGAAAAAATTAATGAATTGATTCAATTCATGCACACATGCTTAAATCATATGTGACACACACGTTTACATATTGTGGATATTGGTATAGGTGGTTAAAGCTTTCCAAGAATTGAACTGTATTATTAAAATGTATCATAAAAGAAAATAAAATTGCCAATTAAAAGAGCAGAACAAAACTAATAAGAGGCGTTCTTGCTGCTGGTTAAAAGTAGTATGCGAATTAAATAAAATTAACTGGACTTATTACATATGTAATGGATAAATTTACTTTTTTTTGTGGTGTTATTGCTGGAGCTTCAATAGGTTGTGCTATTGGTAAGATTTTCTACTATAACTTATCCAATTTAATTATAAAATGTGATAACAATTTAAAGTTGGAACTGGTGGAGCAATAATTCAAAATGCAGCAGGTATTTTTTTGTATATATGCTCGAAATCAATTATATCATCAAAAATTGGTGCTGTTATTGGAGGTTTAACTGGTTCAATTATTGGTGGTATTATTGGTAAAAAAGCTACTTATAATGCGGTATCAAAATTTCATAAATTTGGCGAAGTAAGCAACAAGAACGATCTTGAATGTTTGAAAATGGAAAAAACATGAAAAATTTTAGATTTGTAATTAAATAGTTTAATAGTTTTAATAAAAATTTATAAAAATTATTTTATACTTAATATGTGGTTAATATTTTCAAATAACTATGCCCACCTGCTATTCGGTTAATGCAGGTTGATACCATAATAGTAGCAAGAATGTGCTAGAAAGAATTTAATCTGAAGAATTTATTAATGTGTCAAAAGTATCTGTTATAGGTACGTTTCTTGAATTTACTATAAAGTTGGATGAAAACAACTTAATAATTAACAAAAAAATTAATAATTTTTCGATGAGATGTCGACAGTTACTTATAATAAAGATGTGACTATATCTGTATAATCTGAGTTTCATAGATGATTAAAAGAAAGTTTATTAATTCATAGCCTGATAATATGTTTCCGGTTCAAAACAAATTAAAAGATTTCTTTCTTTCTTTAAAAAATCTTCAATTACAAAAGTATATAAAATTCCATCATCATTCAGTAGCTTTGTGTTTAAACGTGATAAGTTCAGTCGGTGTCAGAAAATGGCTACTGATATTATGAGAAAAAATGGAAAAACCTGAAACTAATATTAGAATCAGTAGATTGGTCTTGGGAAATTATTTATGGATTTGTATTGCATTCTTTTTTTTCATACATAAAGTAAAATTGCACAAGATTTTTCTGTTCATGGGCAAAGTAATTTTAATTGTAGTCCTTGAAATTAAAAAAAAACGTCATTAAAGAAATTCAGTCAATTGCTTTGAATTCGTGAGATCATTTCAAGTTAAAAAAAATCTGATGTGGTTAACACATAACCGACCGCAATGTGTATTGTTTAGTTAAGTGAAAGTTTTGGAGAATATTACAAAAATGTCTGTTAAATAATTCTTTCGAATTTTTAGGGCATTAGTAAGCTTATAGTTAATATACTTAGAAAAATGTAAATTTGGCTCTTAGTAGAGTTTTTCTTTGTGCTACCAAAATTCCCTGGAATGCTCGCAAGTTAGTTTCGCTAGCAACCAGAACTCAAATATCAAATTTCAAGAAATTCCATCAATTCATACCGTAGATATGGTAAAAATTGTAAAATCAGTCCTCAGATCAGTTTCCAAGCCCTGATCTTTCCAGAAAATTTATATGTTGATTGTTTTAATACAAAGAACCTAAATATTAAAATCAATTAAATCGGTTGATTATTTTTCTTTATATACGCAAAAATGTATATTTGGCCTGTACTAAACGTTCAGTTGCTAACACCTAATTTCTTCTAAAAGTTAGGACGTTTCGCGAACGGTATAGCGAAACTTATATATGAAATTTCAAGTAAATCTATTAAATATTTTCTTCAAAATGATCAAAAATGTAAAACAGGCCCGCTAAAAAGTGCTGTTCCCGAGGTTTGATATAACCCAAAAGTTGATCAATCCGTGCCATGGTCAAAATAAACTTACATATAAAATTTCATCAAAATCGGTTCAGCCGAACTTAAGATACACGCGTGCACACACAGACCGGTAGACCGAGAGGTTGCTAAAAATAGTTTATTTACACTTCACTACCATGAAACATTTGTTGCCATCACATAACCTATCGTATACACAACGCGTTCGGTAAAAAAATTAAAATCCCTTTGCACATTAAAAGTATGGTTCGCGTTCTTCCCCAAATTCAATGTGAAAATCTAAAAAAATTCACTTCAAAAGAGTTGGAAAAGTCGACATAAGGTTAGACATAATGGCAGTTGATGTTAAGATTTTTAATGTTTAGGCTCTTCCCTATATCCGAACATACATATGAACATATTAAAAACGAAAAATATCAGGGTGTTTATGCATAATTACGTATTTGAGAACTTCGAAGGACATTTTGGCATTGCAACAGTAATTTCTTGCAATTTCACTTAAGTTTAAACACATATGTACATACTTTTTATACATTATTATTTAGGTATCTTTATTTTAAATAAGAGTTTCACATTTTGCTTTCCTCGTATAAAATTATTTATATTATATTATAAAAATATAAGCTAACATCATTTTCTTCGTCGCTCGAGGACATCAGCCATTGCAGCACCTCCAATGACTCCACCAGAAATAGCTCCAGCGGTGCCACAAACTGTTGCTCCGACCGTTTTTCCGATAGTTGTACCAGCGCCAGGACATATAACTGTTCCCACAGCCGCTCCGACAACAGCTCCTGCAGTTCCAGCTTAAATTAAAATTTTAAAATATTTCAATATATCCAGTAATTGTAGAAAAATAAAAATAATACCAGTAGCAGCTCCGGTAGCACCACCAGCTACAGCCCCACAACCAACAAGAAAATTATCCATTTTTTAATAAAAAAATATCTTACAATTGCGGTTTTATGATTATTTAACGTATACTAAGTGGCACGTAAGTTGTACCAATGCTTACGAATGCTTAGAAATATTTAACTTAAAAATCATTTTACTTGAAACTTTTAAATCTTTTTTGCTGAAATTTTTGTATTCTAATTCAAACGATCACAACATTAACAGAAGCATGTATTTGTGTATTTACATATGTACATATGCATTTGTTAACCCCTACACAGTACATATTTGTATAATATTATCTCCGAAAGTTTTCTATACGCACGTAATACTATTAGAGTAAGTATTATGCTAAAGATTTCGGGAAGTTCCCTTCTCCGTACATGAAAATTTTAAATTTTGATCAATTTACATTAGTTTGTCCTTTCTTATACACACATAATATTTATCATTGCCTTTTTTCTTCTATTGAAAGCAAAGATAAAAATTGCATATATGTGTACATTCATATGAATGTGTAAGCATTAGGTTTGGAGTCGCAGCTTTCAAAGCTTTTCAGTTCTGTTTAAGAATTAAAATATTGAAAACCCTCATACATATACATATTTTATATTCAAAACTACATTAAGAAAAACTAATGACCAGGACTGTCTTTTTGTTATGTCGCGATTCACATTATATACGAGTACATTAAATGTACTATATGGTACGTATGGTAGGTTGTTTTTAAATATCTCGTTCATTTTAAAAGCTTCATTTGTTTATACGCAAGAATTATATTTTATATTCTATAACATAATTTGTGTATTCTTACAATTACTCTACACTAGTAATTTTAAGTAGGATCACTAGAGCACGTGGAATCTAATGTTTAAAAAATTTATTATATATTTATGTTATTTTATGTTATAAAAAATAACCATTCATGAAACTTGGCAGTCATGTGTCCAATTATAGATCAGATATATTTGTGAAATTTTAGTGGAATTGCTTGACAGGTTCGGGTACCTGCCATACAATTCCAAAAGCTAATTTTAAATATTTGGAAAAATAATAAAGTCAGATTACAGTTATAGGTCAGACATATCCGTGAAGTTTCTATAGAATGGTTTCACATGAGTAATTGCTATACAGCAAGGAAAGGTGCAGGGTATAATTCAATCGGTTTATACCGACTGAAACGTTTTTACTTGTTAAATTTTTTTTGCTTTATTTTAAAGACTGCATAAATTCGTCATCCTCACTGTATGCACTCCTTGAAGTAGTTTCTTATATGAGTAAAAGTAATTTTAATTGTAACTACTTGTTTTTAAAAGCACTATTTTCATTTTTTGAATGGAAAAGTACTACAAAACCATTGGTTTGACCCAACTTTATTTAAACACATTTAACACGTTTTACACTATGAGAAATAGAGAAAAATATTAGATGGGTTAACTTTTAGATCTTATTGCTTCTTAAAGAAAAATAAATTTAAATTTTGTGTTTTTTTTTAGAAAAAAAAATTTATTAACTTTACAACATAAACAAATGAAAACAATTAATTTTTTTTACAAAATAAATAAAAATGTATCAGCTTTCTGTGTAATAAAACGGACTTATTAACACCCATATTCTCTAAGACCTTCGATTCATGTAATAAAAAAGCAGCTTTGGAATTTGAGATACCATACTTAAAATCTCATTACGTTTGAAAATAATTCCATAATTTTAAGTGATGCATCTTACAAAATATAGAGTGTTAACATTTCTGAATTGCAATTTTTTTAAAACACATTTTATAATTGAACTTTTATAATAAAATTTCAATTATAGAATGTGAGGAAAAATTAAAAATTATAAATTTTACATAATTTGAAAAAAACTGAACGGTTGAAATTTTAAGATAAAAGTAATATTTTAATGATCGTATTATTTTACAATACTAAATATGAAATCAAATTTTTTCATGCCACTTCAGTTTTATTACATAAATATTTTTTAATAATTATTTAATAAAACTAATTAATAAAGATATTACAATTTTTAAAAATATTAATGTATGTATGTACATATTTTTGAATTCTACAGAGCACATAATTTAATATTTATTTTATTTAAAATTAAATGTAAATATTATAGAAAATTTATAATTCAAAATCACATTAAAATCAAAGTTTTTTTATTATAATGCATAATACACTGGATACATAATCATATAATATTTAATTAATTGATAATAATTGCACAAAATATCTTTTCTATTTTTGTTTCTAAATAGAATGAGATTTAAAATTCTTACAAAATGAATGTTATGGAATTAAAAGTCATATTTAGCGCGTTAAAATTGGTATTCAATAAGAACCCACTGTTCTCACCTTTGCTTTACAGTTTTAAATACATACATGTGTAATTTTTTTACATTTAAATTAAAAAGAAATTTTATTATACTACGATAGACTTACATTATTACATAACTGGTTCATTATAATCAATTATTCTTTCTTCCTTTCTTGTTATTTCCTTAAAATCTGTCATAAGTCAAACAATTGCCAAAAAAAAGATTGATTTACCATTTCTGCAAAAGGTATAAAAATATGTCCGATTACGTTAATTTTCTTTTGAAAAGATCCAAATCAGCATAATATATAAAAATTGGAGAAAGTCTCAAGTTAAATAGCAAGGAGATGTTAATGTGGTTAACAAAAGCAAAAGCAAAAGTTAAAATTTCTTAAAGTTTTAGGTGTAATCGACAATGCAAAATGCTCGTTGAATTCTTTTGCATTTTAATCAATTTTGCAGTTAACAAAAGCATTGTAACTTTTAATGTTGTCAACAGATTTCTATATTTGTAGCAAACCTGATAATGCAAGAAGCAAATGTCACGCAATTAAAATTTAACTATGCAGAATAGTAAATCCTCTTTTTTAATGTAAAATATAAAACATTGCATATACATATATAGCTTTCCAAAACATTTTCTTAATTCAAATAGAAAATATTTTCTTAATCCAATTTTTCTTTCTTTTGTGTACATTTGTTTCTCTTTTAATCACATTTTTTTTATCATATTATATATATATGTTTTAATATATATATGTACTTATTTTATTATTTGTTATATATTATATTGACATAAGAGTTAAGTATAAAATGTATTATAACACGAAAAATAAAAGTGTTAAAAAATCGACTAAAATTAATTTTGCATCAATTATGATTTAATAAAGATATTTCGACTGTTTAATACTTTTCATTTTTTTCACTTAATCATTAATTAATAATTAAATCAATAAATTCGTTATAAAGAAATTGTGAATTGCAGATAGAAGAAATTTATTATAATCTGATTTTAAAAACAAAGTGTAACATAAAAATCTGTAAATATACACTCTTTTATTTTAATTATTATTAAACACGAAAATCTGATGTCTTAGATTATACAATTTATAAAAATTATTATTATCATGCCAAAAGAATTGTCAAGCATATTATTATTAAGACAATCAAATTAATTTTATAAAATTCATCATGTCGAAATTAATTTGAAAGTATGATTTTTGGTTATTAGATAACTTCTTATTTATATTGAAATTATTAAACAAATGTGTCAATCAAAAGATGAGGAAATAATTTTTCTGCAATATGCAGGTATAAGTTGATCATTATTTGTTTGCAAATTAAAATAAAGATCCGATTTTTATATAAATTCCTAGTTTATTTTTGAAAGAATTAAATATAAAACAAGTTAGAAAAATTCAATTTTCATTAATACTACTCTAGTACTAAGCAATAACAATTCAATTAATTGTATTACTTCTAATATTTTCCTTTTTTTTATTAAAATATTGAGATTTTAATACAAATAATATTTTTATGAATTACATTATCATTTTAATATTTTGCTGATAAAAATTTGAAATTATTGAAACAGAACTTTTCGGCCTAACTTTAATTTTAAAATTTTCTTAAAAAACGAAACACGTAATTATATGGTAATATAAAAGCAACTACATATATTCATAAATTCATTCATTTTAATTAAAATTTGAAATTCAGAAATGTAATTCATTTTTAGGAAACTTTCATTCTAATGAACATGAAAAATATTTCTCTCATTTTTCTGCTACATTCTATCAATTTCTATTAATTAAATATTTGAACTCGAAATTACATTCAGAAGTTGTTATACAGTAAAGATTTTTCCATTAGATCGAGTGTTATCTAACATTTCAGCTTCTTTGGCTATTTCTACAATACCTTCAGTTTTATTATTTGCGGTATCAGAAATTTCCTCTTTTATTTCTTCTTCAGAAATTTCTTGACAAGATTCAATTTTTTCCATAACAGTAGCATTATCACTATTTTCTATTTTAATTTGAGAATTATTATCATCATCAATTTCTACTGAATTATTTTTATCATCACAATTTTTTGTCGTTTGATTTTGGAATGATTTTTCTTCATTGTTTAAATTATGATTTTGAGTGGTCATAGAAGACCACCAGTTAGAAAAAGCTCCTTTTGCTTGGGATAGTGCACCACCTTTAAAATGAAAATTCAAAGTAAGAAAATTTTTTTAACAAATTCTAAATAAGCAATATATTACCCACTGCTCTACTTGTAGTGTTTACAGCTTGATTAAGCTTTCTACCACTTTCACTGTTATTCATAGTTCTGAAAATTAAAATTTTAATATAATTGCGTTTTCATTACATTTAAATTATATTTTCCCATATAATCTTACTGAGCAAGTTTTAGTTTCATGTCTGCTACCGATAAAGTCCCGGAAAATGGATGACCAGATGTAATTGCTTCGAAAAAACCTTCATCTGGTCTCTTAAGGTACCAGTCACTAAAGCATTGAGTTTTTTTAAACGATGAAATAAAATACGAGTTGAAATGGTCAACTTCTTTTTGGTTTTCTAAATTGCAGTTCAAGTAAACCCATTAAAAAAATAAATTCTAGTATATACTTGAATATTCCTAAGTTGTTAATTTACCTGGAGATACGGTGGTTTTAATAAGTGCCAATATATAGCCTTGAAACTGTTCGCGTATCCAATGTTCGCTACCTTCTGCTTCTTCTTTGGGATTTTGAACATGTCTTAGAATATAATCTACAAAACGCAAGTCTTCTGTTGTTAAAACTAATTGCCTCCTCAAATCTTGGTCGTTAGTATCTAAAGTTGCATTTTCAGTATCAACCTGTATATCTGCTAAATTCTTTTTTTGTTGAAACAGAACGTTTGATGTTCCTATAACGTAACTAAGTACTGAAGGATCTGTCAACAGATCCATGTATGGCAAGGATAAATACGGTAAGCACAAATGACCACTAGAAAATGTTGGTAATGGTGCATTGTATGAGTCTGGATTGATTGATGCTAACGGAAATAAGGCAGCTAAAAGGAAACAAGTACTTAGTATGAAACTACATTAAGAAAATATCAAATGAACATTTACATGCTAATGTATCAACGCTGGCATCACGATGTAGATGTTCTAACGGTCTTTTCGGCATATCGGCTGAGTTTGCTCTTATTAATTCTCTCATTTCTTTTACACTTCTTTCCGAACTATCTGACGTTGGGGATTTATTTTCTGAACTCCGGTCGCTACTGTCTTCTGTTTTATCTTCTATGTTTATTTCATTTTTTTTGTCTAGAGGCGATGTAAAATCTGGCATTGGGGAAAGTGGCCTAGATGTTTGAACACAAGCAACTTCTTTAAAACCTTTTTCAATCAAGCGTGGATATAATGAAGCGATCCCTATAATTAAAGTGCACATTGAACGAACAGGAGATCCAAAACAAACCACGCGTTTTTGTAATAAATACAATTTAAACAAAATTAAAATTTTGTGTTTCCATTTTAAAACAATATCTCTTAATGATAAACCGACATCAAAATGGCGCATAGGTATAGTTTCCGTTAATAAACAAGAATTTAAATTACAATAAGCTTTGACTAGAATATCTGTGCAAGCAAAATCGCCTTGATCAAAAAATGCATCTGCAATACATGAAAGTTTTACTTCAATGTAACCATATATTGGTAAACTAGCAAGAACGCAGACCGACTTTTGCACAGTACTTCTTGTTACATCAGCCGTTCGTATCTTTAGTTTCTAAAATAGTTTGAAATTTTTTGTTCAATATTTTCATTGAATATGTACATATCTTATATTTGTTACCTCTACTGGAATTTGACGATAGCATGAAATTCCATAGATACTTTCGGAGGGATCATTTAAACTCGGTAAATTAAAAAAAACAGTGTCATTCATAAAGTTATGAGATCCGTCTGGCAAAGCTAAAGTAGGAAAATATTTCCAACCAGAAGGACATTCGTTTTTCCCCTCTGTTCCAGGAATTAGGGGTGGATGTGAAAATTCAACCTAAAATAAATATTTTACTCAATTTGATTTTCAAAAATTAAAATGCGAAAGCAAATTAATTGGGAAAAAATATAAATAAAAATTTTGAGGATTGTGAACATTTTAAAAAATTACAAATTTAATTGCAGACATTCTTTATTTTAGATATGTCTCCATCTCAAATACTTAGCTTGCGTATTGAAACAATTTTGAGTCTTTTACCTGGCATCCTTTTTTATGATGAAATCCAACTACAATAATATGAAGTATGGGTAGTTTTTCAGACATAATACACAAGTTAATCCAAAAATGGCTTTAATTGAAATCACATTATTTTCAAATTGAAGTCAATTTTCTAAAAATCCTATTTTCTACAAAAATATTTTAATTTTATTTATAATTTCACCCCAGACTTAGTAATATTTTTTTATTGGGTGTCTAGTTGTCAAAAGTATTGTCAAAAAAACATTTTGTGTTACCAAAGCAAAGTATATAATTCAGTTTTGCCGTTTTGATGTCAGTAAAGAACATTACCATATTAATGAGTTAATTGTTAGGTGCAGTTTCCATTGATGACAAAGTCCGATGACTATTTACACATCGGGCTAAAATTTTCTGATGGGCCTCAGATTTTACGTCAAAAACTAATAATTATTTATTTTTGCATTTATTTGATGTTAATGTTAAAATAAAAATTGACTAATCGCTGTTCAAAACTCAAAACAAATTAATTGTCGCTTTTCTGCTTTTAAAAAATTTGACAAAAATCTGATGAAGATTAGCGTAATTCCTGTTATTTGTCATCAGACAATGTCTGATATCAAACAGTGTTAAACGACTTTCATCAGACTCAGATTAAATCGTATAGATTTTGTCGTACAATAAATCTTACTTAAAATTTTAAGAGAGTTTTATTTATAAATCTAGACTTTAAAAAGTATGTTTTATTCTTTTTCCACTGTGTTCCACTCTCTAAAAAAAATAAACATATTAGACTACATGGCTGGGAGAAATATTTTTGTTATGTCAAGCTAGACTAACAGCACAAAAAAAATTAGTAATTTAATGATCATTGAGCATATCTTATATCCTTGTTATGAGTTATAGTAAGCAATATCTTATATCCTTGTTATGAGTTATATGTTAGATAATTAACTGTTTTGTGCAAATAAATAATATTGTTTACTTTATTTAAAATTTTATTTAAAAAGAAGCTTTATTCAGTTTCAAATTTTGTTCATATACAAATAATTTCAGGTCATATACAAATAATTTCAGGAACGATATTTCGATCAATTTTCAGCAAAAAAACCGTGTAGGGTAAATGGGGTCATTTATAAAATTGGTAGGACAGAAAAATAGCAATTAATTAAAAATATGCATCGCTATATAATTATAAAAAAGAGAACAAATTTTTAATTAAAAAAAAAATTTAAAAAAAAATAGAATTATTTTAAAAAATAACACAAAATTCAATTTATAGGCTTATAATTTATGAAGAATCTGCCAAGAAATCTAATGAGTCGGGATATGGTTCTATAGGTGTGCGTTTTAGTTGAAAGCGAAATGAATTTCATTGTCATAGTTTACTTCGAAAAAAAAATTTAAAAAAAAAACTGTCGAAAAATGCGAATGCAACGAATTCTAGGAACTTCGGAAGATCAATAAATTGGACAAGTTGGCCATTCCATGAATACATGAAGAGATTATTAAAAACAAGTAGGTTAACAAAGTTTTTAAAATAGTTAAACAGTAATAGTCATATGAACATGCAGTTGGAAAAAGTATATTAATATATAAAAATTAATAATTTTAATAAGATTTGTACGGTAAAAAGAGCCATCTCATTAGTCACCTCTTATGTAAACCCAGAACACAGTAAAAATAATGTAATAAAATATCAGTTACTGTATTTTTGGGTTGATTTTATCGAAATCTTCTTTGCAAAAAAGTTGTTAGAAATCGCTATTTTTTTTTTTAGCCTTTATATAATATGAATACCTACTTTATAATATGAATACCTACGAGTACATGATGTAGCTATATGTATATAAGTATCATACTCTGTTCTTGATATGAAAATAGCTTTAAAAAAAACGACAACATTATTTGCATTGCATTTACATGTTCAAAGTATTTCAAAATTCAATTAAAAAAGACATTAGAAATAACTGTAAATCACGTGATCCATTCGTTGTAAATCAAAAATAGTATTTGTATCAAAAATAGTACATAAAACGTAACTACGCATATCAACTACGCATTCAATTGACGCAATGCAATTGTGCTCAGTTTTAGCAAGTCAAAAGTTGACACATGGTTATGGTAAATGGAACGCAAAAATTATGTACAATTAAAATGTATTAATTTAGTGATCTCGAAATTCCTCTAAATTGATTTCTTTTTTTAAGTAACCAAATAGAACCGTTCCTACAAAAAACATTTATAGTATTAATACATCTTATATTAGTAATTATGTAACAAATGTGAAAATTATAACAATATGAAAATATAAAACTCTGACGTGAGAACCACTATTAAACCTTTTTCTTACGTTGTAAGGTGACATGACGGCACAATGTTGTTGATAAGATTGTGACAATGACGAACCGTAATATTATGTGTATTATATTTTATTTTTGTAAAATAACAGTTCCTATTTTACTTACGTATTATATTTTATTTTTGAAAAATAATAGTTGTTATGAGAAAGTACATACATAATATATAATACATTTCACATAATTGGCCTGTTTGGAATAAAAAAGTTTTTAAAAACTTTATAAAGTTTTAGTATGCAGACTTCAACATTTACTCAATGTTTTAAGTTTTTTTCAAGTTTTATAAAGTAAAATTTAGTGTTTTAAAAACTTTTAGCTGTCAAAATTTATGTTCTTTATGTATGTACTTATGTTTGATAAAGTATTTGCAAAGTTGACGTTTAATATATTTTTTATAAAGTGTTTTCAAACTTTCCTTTTGGTTTTTTTTTGACAATTTTGTACTACACGCTTTGCATATCAAAACCAAACCAACGAATTACAAATTCTAAAGAAAGGAGCATCTTTGTTTTTATCTTGCTTACACTTCCTAAAAATCACAGTTTCATCACTTTTTTTTATATATTTTACTATAATTTCTATTTTTCTTTACTATTTGTATCAACACCACGAAAAAAAAGCTTTTGGCATTAAATATTAATTTCAATTTGACAATGCTTGGAACAAGAAAGGGACTTACTTGAAGTTGGCTTGATTGTGTTTTTTTTAAGATTTTTTAGAGCGTGCAAGCGAGATAGGAAAATTTTATCAAGTTTCTCATACCAGACAGACCTGTTAGCTCAATTGAAAAACATTCCTGTATGGGTGATTTTCAAAATTAAATTTACATTCATTTAAATTATTTTTAATTTACAACGGTACGTTGATTATTTATTTTAGTGTTGTCACACGACGACAAATTTTACTAAAAAAAAAATAATTAGAGGTAGCAATAACACAAGATAACCATAACTGTTAAAACTAAGATAACAGCATTGTCAAAACTTTAAATTGAAGTTTAACACACTATGTCAGAACCTGCGGCTTCGAGGTCGCATGTGGCCTCGCTCCGCCGTCTTTTGAATTTATATGCCCTTTAAATATTCAATTGCTTTCAAGTAAAAAACAAATGCAAATGTCTTACTAAATATAGTCTAACTTGAATTAAATTTATTAAACAATGAATTTGAAGTTGTTTTTTTGTTCTTTATGTTTGATTATTTACTTTTCATTGAATTGATTTTTTGTTTTATTAAATTTTATATATATTTATGTATGTATGCATAAAAAAATATCGACTTCATTATAAAAAACTTAATTTGGAATAAATAAAAACTGAATTTAAAATAAAAAAATGAGATTTGCACTACAATAACTGTACAAAAGATACATTTACTGGTATTAAAATTTATGCGGTCCCCTTAGTTATCGTTATTTTGAATTTGGCCTCCATGAGTAAAAAGGTTCCCCACCTCTGCTCAATATACGATTTATTACCGACTTTGCGGTATTGTATTAAAAAATTTATACTCATGCAATTTTCATATTATAGAACTATCAAAAAATCGCAACAGTTTTATGACAATGTAGGTATCAGAAATGTCGAAGATTTAATATGTCGATAACTATCCAATGCAGGTAGCTAAGTAGCTACAAATATTAAGTTTTTAAAATAAAAAAAAAAACAAATTCTTTCTTCATTTAATATTGAATATAAAAATGTTTTGTAATATTTTATTTCATTTTAATAACCGTTTTAGATGAAGAAACTTAAAAAAATGTGTTGCATCATCAAAGTTGGAACATTTATCACACTGAGAAAAAAAGGTATCTATGTATCTATCAGGTAGAATAATAAATTGATAATGTCAAATATCAGACGGAGATTAACAATATATTAAAATGTTCAAATATTCAAACGAATTGATGAATTATTAAATTATCGTACATAAGAAAAATTTAATTTTTTAAATAATGCAACATTTTATTTCTCACAAATAATTTTTTGATTTTTCTTATCATTAACAATGTGGCTTCTGATTCCTTTTATATTAAAATCTTTTTTTCATTTTATGTAAATAGCTACATTCTTATTAAAAACAAATTCATTTAAAAATTTTTATAATAATTTATTTTTAGTGTACATCAAAATATATTTCTTTCTCTATTAATACTAATCTTGCATCTTGTCATATCCTATTTTAATTATTTTACAAATTAATAAAACATTAAAAACGAAAAAAACAGTTATTAGTTGATTACTTTCGAAGACGAATTTTACAAAATTTTACATTAATATTTTTTTTGCTTTTTTTAAACAAATTGAGCATATAACGAAAAAAATTTATTTTATTTATTAATATTACTCAAAACAAAATATAATTATGCAATTCTATGTTTTAAACTTTTACATAAGTTAGAGTTGTAGTTAAATAAATACATATATTAAGTATAGCATACTCGAGAATTGAGTTTAAAGTCTAACTGATTAAACAAATAAAGTTAGATATGTATGTAGCCATATATCTTGCTATATGTAATTTGAAGAATATTGGGCAAGGTGTTTATTAAATATCTCGACCGTTGGAAATTGAAGTGACAGGAAATGAGTTTGATTCTTTTTGAGTAAGGAAAACTTAGGAATTTGTAAAAAATTTGTAACTCTTTACTATTTCAAGTCAAATTGGTATAATTTTGGTTAGTATATTTTACTTTATATATGCTATTAACTAAGAATATTAGAATTTCGATAATTCAGTTAAGCACTTATAATTATATCTTGAACATTAAAAATCTATTTTTGCACCATTAGTTAGTCTACAGCAACTAACTAGTTTACTTTTTCAGATTTTTAACATCGTAAATTATTTTATGTGATTTTTTAAAACTTAAAAA